TGTCCCTCCCTTTGCTGGGTCTCCCTGTGCCTTTGCTTTAAACACCCGCGGGCACCATCCCCTCTCCAGGGGGGACATGTACCAGCGACTTGCCTCTCCCTCTCCCATGGTAGCCAGAGGGCCATGGATGGAGCAGGGCTGTGGGGCAGACATCTGGGGATGGCTCCAGCGGGAGCCTCTCCCCATGGCACTGCAAATGGGGGTCCCATGTTGACCACCCAGCCTGGCATTGCTGTTTGGGATGCCCGGTGCCCTCCAATACGTGCCCCAAAGACCCCGATGGTGTTGGGACCAGCCTCATTGGTAGGACACCGGACCACCACACAGGGTCATCCCCAAGGCATCAAAAATAGGGCTGGGAGGCGAGGGATGGGGCTGAACCTTTCCTGGTGGGGTATTTCCGGGGGGGTGAGGCCACAGAAGCCCGTGATGGCTCATCTTGATGGGGCATCAGCCGGGGGCCGGGCGGCCGTTTCCTCCCCTGGGGACCCCCACCTCGGTGCTGACTCAACCCTGGCCGCTCTTCTCAGAAATGGTCTCGCCTGGCTTCATCCCTCCCCATCCCCGGGCAGGGGGCATGGCTCCGTGGGATGCCGATGAGGGGGCCGCCCCAGGGGATGCTGGCACCCGCCACCGCCCCACTGCCCAGACAGGTGCCCTCAGGGGGCAGTGGGGCCAGGGGCAGCTGATCCTCATGACCCAGCTTGCCCACAAACCACTGGCGGTGCTGGCCGGGTGACTCAGACTGGGGGGGACACTACCTGGGGCCTTTCCGCTAAACCAAGTGCGGCTGTGACAGCCCATGACGCACATACCCAGGAAAAATACCAAGAATGAAAGAGGGGGGGAGAAATCCAGTGGCAAGAGAGGTCCGGCCATGATGGAGAGCATCAGAGGCACCCCTTGGATACTCCCCTGCAACATGTCCCAGTGCCTGTCCCACCCATCCCCCCAGGCTGCACCCCAGCAAGCCCACCACTGCAGCACTGGATGAGTGGAAAGCTGCAGAGGGCTCGGGGCTGGCGGCACACGCCTGCGTTCGAAGTGGGTAAACAAGTCTATTTTTAAGTGGGAGGCAGTCAGGGAGGGTGAACTGCCAAGGGCCGGGCTGCTCTGCTGCCGGCAGGGTTTAGTGAGAGGGCTCGAAGTGCAAGTGCGAGTTTCTGCCTTTCCCTATTGTTTTTTAGGGGGGAAAAAAACCCATTAGTTGTAAGCAGGAGGAGCTCTTGCAGGTTCCTCCTGCTCCAGCCCCATCTTCCCCTTCCGTGTGTCCCCGGGGATGTGACCCTGCCCCTGGGACCTGCCTGGCCCCACTTTTTGAGCCTTATAACCTCCTTTTCTTGTCCTCTGCCAGCAAATGTGGATGCCGCCAGCCCCCTGCCCAGCCTGGGTTGCCAGGACCCTGCCGCCTTGGCCCCAGCCCCATGCCCACATCTCAACGGAGGCCTGAAGATAATGGGGCCACCCGAGAAAGCTGGAGCGAAGCGGAGGCCATGCTGCCGGGGTGATGCCGACGGTGACATCATCCTGCTCTCCACTGTATACCCCCGGCATGAGGAGTGCAACCACAGCTTCCCACTGCCTGCCACCGAGCTGGGGGCCACAGCTCTGGTCACCACCAAAACCACCCAGAACTGCCCCAGTGAGGAGAGAGCCTGAGGGTGAGGGGAATGGGGCTGGACCACTCCGGCTGCTCCCTGTGGATGCTTAGAGCCCATCCCTGGGGTGGGCAAAGCCTTGCACGGATGTGAGCTGTCTGATGACTGGATTTTGCCTCAAGCAACATCAACCTTCTAGGATCACTGCCCTTTTCCACTTTCCCATTTGTACCGAGTCCCAAGTTGTGCCTGTAATGGCTGGAGGAAGCTGACGTGGATCACACCAAGTTATGGTGAACCGCCGACAGCTGCTGTGGCTGTGCTGTTGGGAGGAGGCAGAGGAGACGTGGCCGGTGAGGACGGAGCATGGCAGGGGCTGTTGTGCCAGGACAGGTTTGCTGCTGGCTGGGTGATTCGTGGGGACACAGGGCTGGAATAGCAGAAAGAGGGGGCGGGGAAGGAAGATGGAGAGGGAAGCAGGGAGTTACATTAGGACCAAATCCTACACTGCTGCCATTAGCTCGATTTTTGCTACTGACCTCAATAAAAGGAGGCTTGGGGCCATATGGAACAAGGCACATCCAGCATCTGCTCCATTCACAGTCCTGCCCTTCCCCGTCTTGTGCACGCTGTAGTATCTGGGTCTCTCCTCCCCCTGGGCACTCTCACGCAGTGGCAGGTGTCCACCAGTGGTCATGGGAACCCCCTCTGCAGCCAGGGGTGGTCATGGGAACCCCCTTCCATCCTCAGGGATGGGAAACAAGTCTGTCTTCCCAAGCAGGGAGGGAGAGAGGGAAGAGGGGAAAAAAATCTTTGGTCTGACCTACAATCATTGAAGTCAGGGAGGACCAGGGGCAGGCAACGGAGACTGCTGGTGTAGAGGAGCTCCGTGAGCTTGTCATTATGGCCCCAGACAACCGTCACTTCAGCTCACTGTGGCTGCAGAAATACCACATGTCACTTGGGATGACAGGGCTCCTGGTGATGGATGTTTCCACGCCGTGCAAAACCAGGCAGGGAGTGATGCGAGTGTAGGCGGGATGACTTAATTTATGTGAGTGTCTTCAAGGCTTTTCCTCTGTGCAAGAGCTGGCCGGTGTTGCTGGTCCCAGGCACTTCTCTGTAGATGGTCTTGTTCACCTGCCCACAAGTGGCTTTACTGAGCAGGAAGGGCTCTGCTTTGGAAACGAACTCATTAGTGCAGGATTGCTGTTCCCAAGTAATTACAGCAGCCAATCTCGCTGGCCAAACAGAGCCCGGCCAATGTCTTGGGTGAGAAACCTTGCTGGCCTCGGAGGGAATGATTAGGCAAGGTTATTTGCATGGAGCACCTCGGCAGAAGCCCAGGTCTGCTCTTCCTTGGGCAAGATGGCTTCCTCGCCCAGGAGGCTTCAGGATCTGAGCAGAGGTGGCCGAGCAAAGTGTGGGAGCACTGCTGTCAAACACCAATGGGCCACCAGGGGCCACAGCTCATGGTAGGGTTGCCCAGTGGCACTGTGTGGAGAGGATGTCCCTCTGATGATGGGAAGGTGACCCCCTGCCCAAGTTTGAGCTCTCTTCTGGGGCTGCAGGACCAGAAGCTGCTGTTGAAGGGTGACCCTCCCTCTTCTCCTCTGCCCGTGGCACTGGAACTGGACTCGCAGCATCCATCCCATAAGGGAACCACTGGCATTGCCACAGATGCCAAGGCCCACATTCCTCACCACAACTCCTCTCTCAGACCTAAACATGCTGGCAGAGGTGAGCCTTCATCCCTCTGAGGCTCCGCATGGCCCAGGATGGGATGGGTCCCCGTCTCAGCCTTGGGGAGGAGGATGATGGAGGGGCTGGTCCACATGCCCAACAACTGTCCTTTGGGGATCCAGGATCCCACGGCTCGCTGGCAGGAGCTGTGGAGGCTCCACAGTTGGGCTCCCAGTTATCCGCAGCAGCCATGCTGCCCATTGCAAGAGGGGCATCCCCACAACACGAATTGGGCATCTCCTCATCCCCATGCTCCGCACCCAACCCTGTGAAGTGAGTTCAAGTAACCTTTGTGCATCTAGAGCGGGGAAATGAGCCAAAGCCAGGCTGGGGGACGTTTTGGCACTGGAAGAAGGACTGTTTGTGGGACGCAGAGCAACTTGCTTCACAGGAGATGGGGGCAAGAGGGAAAGGGAGCAGGAGTGTCGGGCTCCTCTCCCGATTCCCACTCAGTGACTGCTGTGGCTCAGCCCCTTGGATGTGCTGCCCACCCCGACTGCCGCGGTGATTTGAAAAAGAAACTCCCATGCAAATCCTGTTGAAAAAACCCCCCTCTTTCTGCTCAGGTAGGGGCTTCTGCTCTCATTTCTGCTAGAGCTTCAGCCGGGCAGCTCCTCTGTGGGACGCCACTGGCATCCGCAGTTCACAGCAGCAGCATTTTGATCCACATTGGATTCCTCAGCTGGCAAGTGCCCCTCCGATCCTCTCTCCATTATGGCATGCAGGGTGTCTTCCCCACGTCCTGCCTGCCCGATTGCCAGCTGTGGTGGGTCAGTGCTCCCCTCCTGCCCAGCCTGCTTGGGCCTGGGAGGGACTTGCCACCCCTTCTATGCGTGCTTCTCCATCCTTACGTGCAGGGCAGGGGTCCGTCTGTCTTGTCTGCATGGAGAGCAAAGGGAACGGAGGTGAAAAATATGGTTGTAAAAATGAAAGAATAAAGTGAACCCATTACCAATGCACTCTCAGAGATCTGCATGAGGAGGTGCCTTCTCGATCCCCGTTCCCCTGGCTTCAGGGATCTCCAGCACAGCGGTCTCGGAGGTACAGCAGGACCTTGAGCTGGAGAGGCACCTTCTGCACCGGCATGTCCCCTGCACATGGCCCAGCCACCTCCATCCCCCCCATGACCACCCTGGGAGCTGTCTGACAGGATGAGGATTGGGGCAAGTGTTTTTTTTTGGGGGGGGGTGTTGCCTGTCTTTGACTTTCCACAGCAGTTTCTCACTTCCCCCTGCGAGGCAGGAGCTGTGCTTCCTCCCCAGCCCGGCGCCCGCCCCGCTGTCCGCACAACTGCCTAGAAAGGTTGTCGAGGCCAGGCTTCACCTGGCTGCAGGGGCGCGGGATTTCAGAGAGACACAGGGGAAAGTCTGAGGAAACCCCGGGGCAGGAAAAAGGAGCTGGGGCTAAAACCCTCCTCATGTGTATCTCTAGCCATTTCAACCCCACCAATCCCCCCCCAATGACAGAGGTCGTGGGAGTATTTGAGCTCCTGCAAGTCCCACCAATGATGCTGGTGGTAAAGGATGTAAGCCTTGGTGTCCCTAGGGATGGGGATGGTTTCATGCCCAGTTCTAAAGGCAGGAGCCACCTGGCCAACAGGGAGGAGAGGCACTGGGGGTACCCTGGCCAAGGGTTTTCTCCCGCAGCCACCGGTCATGTCTGCCAAACCCTTCTCAATCCCACAGGCTCCCCAGCCTCCAAAGTGCTCGGCTTTCCTCCACTAGCCTCCTCACCTGGGCCCTTCTCTCTCGGTTTCTCCTCTCTCCCCCTTTACTGATTCACCCACCAGTTTAGTCTCCTGATAGTTCACCCACAGGCCCAGCTACTCCAGCCCAAAGCACCCTACAGACCCCCACAGACCTGCCTTGCCCCTCTACAGGCTTTCTGTGGGTGCTGGACCTCAGCAGCAGGCAGGGCAGACAGGGTAAGGTGGCCACCATTTTATCCCATGCACGAAGCAATACTCCGATGGTCAACACCCAACAGGAACCACCCATCTCTGGGTATCGCCTCTGATGCCTCAACTTGCTTCGTGGCCACCCCATCACCCACTCATGGGGCGTGGACCTCATCCCACTCCACGGGACCCTTCCCCACCACCAGCTTCCCAGTGCCAGCCACTGCAGCAGGATGCGTGGGAGCTTGTGCAATCCCCGGGGGACACCCGTGGGAGGCCATAGGTG